TGGGGGGCGGGGGAAGCGCGGAGAGCCTAGGAGGGCAGGCGGTGGCGGGGCCGCCCGCCTCGCCTCCCTCTTCACGCCGCCGGCCCACGCCGCAGTGTGTTTTGTGGACGGCACCTTCCCAGACAGCTCAGTAGAGCCCAGCTCGGCGCCCGGCAGCCTTCGTCGCGATGTTCCGCCGGAGCTTTAATCGTTTTGTAAGTACACTCGCTGCGGCTCCACGCGTGCGGTTTGCTTGCTCGCCAGCCGTTCGCTGGGTCCTTCGGAGCAATTTTCTAAGGGGATAATTGCATCGGTGGGAGCCACCACCACCACCCTCTTTTAGATTTTAACTGAACCACGTTGCCCGGGCGGCCGGGGTGGGGAGGCAGGTAAGGCTCCCAGAGTCCCCCTCCCCCCGGACAATTTAACCAGAGCTTCCCGGGGTTTTGCAAACTCTGTCTCCGACCGGGGGCCGCCCTCCGGCTGGATGGTGGTGGGATTCGTGGGGGGACCGGTCCAGGGGCCCCTCGGTTTGCCAGTTAGTCGAAGATGGCGTTTTATTATCAGGGAGGTTGCTTTCTTTTGTTTCCTCTGCCACGAGCACATGGAGGTAAACCTAGACCTGTCACTGTGTCCCAAAAAAAAGACCTGGGGAGTGAGGGAGCTGGAGGCGAGGGCAGGACTCAGCCTTGCCCGGGGATCGGCCGGGAGGGGGTCTGCTGACCAGAGGCTGAGCAAACTTTGGAGACCCAGCCTAAGAAGCTCACCTTTAGGGTATAATAAAAGCGAAGGCGATTGTCAGGGTGGGCTGGGTGGATGTGGAGACGCGAGGAGGCTGCACGGCGGCGTCTGAAACCTCACCGAGCCCTGAACGCCCCGTACTTCGAGCCCGTGAGAAAAGGCAGGCTCCGGCTGAATTCCTCCGTCCACGTTTACCCCTTGCAAATCCCCAGAAAAGGGAACTGTATTTCCGTGGGAGTTTGGCATTCGAGAAAAGCGATTTCTGGCTACTGACTTTTTTGAGTAACCTGTTTACTCCTAGAGAGTACATTAAGAATGGAGCAAAGCCGGGACCATTTACTTCTGTGCTGCTATTTGTAGCAACTTCCTTAATTGCAAGATGAGGTGGCGGGAATAGGATTTTATTTCTGCCAATGATGTGAAGGAAAGGGCTCATCTGTAAATTTTGATTTTTTTCAGTCGTTCAGAAAAATGGTTCAGTGCTGTGCGCTCCCACCCACCCCCATTAAAATATATGTTTGAGAACTTGTCGATTTGGCCCTTTTCATGTGCTTATTCCTTATCAAAGCATTGCTAACATTTTTTTCAGGCGTCGGATGAATTTGCTCTCATTTTTTTCTGCAGTTGAAACTTTCACGAATGAACCCTGGCTAAAAGAAATAATTGTACATCCCTTTTGAGGATATTATCACAGTAGTGCTATGTTAATGTTTTTCTAAATGTTTACCTCACCCAGAAACCTGTCTTATGCAATTGGAGATTACCTGTGGCACAGAGCAAAAGAGGTTGTACATATCAAGCATCTTGAAATCTATAGGAATTGGCTTGTACTGGATGCTTTGCCAAAGCAAGGGATGAAAATTGGTTTCTCACATTTAGCCTGAGAAGGTACAAAAGCATTGTACTTCATAGTTGTTTTTCACATTAGATTCTTGTGATCTGGGAGTGTTGTTGGGGCTGACAAAAAGGGAAAGGTGACAGAGCGAACTGTAATAATTGGAGAAGGATAATCTTTTCACAGGGCACTTGAATAGGCGAAAACAACTAGACTCTGGTTCATAATGAATTCATTATCTTAAAATTGAGATGCTGACATCCCCGATTTTTTTTTAAGGGTTTGAACATTTGAAACCATACAACCCAACTATTGGTCTAAAAGCCGCCTTTGATTTTCTTTTGCTAAGAATGATCTGCATTGTATCAGGGTCTGGTAATTAAGCAGTGCTGGCCCAGGAAGCTAGGGCACGCAGTAGAATTTGCAGCAGTGGTTGAGGTGCCAGCCTGCAGGTTTGAGGCTAGTACTTTGCATCCCCGACCAAGATCTCTGCAGAGAATCACTTACGCTCACACTGAAATGAGCTTTGACCTCATTGTTCGCCTGAAATACCCGACTGCTCACGTTTTCCTGCGCAACCATGACTATGGTAAGTCTTGGGAATTTGTACCAGTGCAGTAAGCTGTAAGGTTCTCAGGAGTTGTATCTGAGCCGGAGGCCTCGGGCAAGGAATTAATCTGCAAACCATTGGACTGAATGTGAAATATGTTCTTGAATACTCATTGCTAAAGATGACTTGGAAAATGGGAGGGGGGCAAATTTTATCTCCCCTAGATCAGTACGTCTGCTGTCCTCATCTTTTGCCTGGTAGAGATTATTTGAAGAGCACTCCTATTTAAATCACTAGAAGGCTACAGTTTGAGATTTAGGTTGGACTTTGAGACTTGCACGGCAATGTAGATATAGTCCAAGTTGGGTGCTGTCTTATGATGGCTTTTGTATTTCAGAAGTAGGGCTGTGAATTCCTTTCAAAATTAAGTGGTTTTCTGTGTGTACCTATATGTATCTCAAATAGACTTTGAACATGACAGAAATTACAGTGGTGTTGATTGTAGTTGTTGGTCACTGAAAACTAGATACATGTTGCCATAGGGCTTTACATTTTAAACCTGAGGTGGGAAGTAAATATTTTTTGGGAGTAGCATCATCTTCTGTGGCTCAGTAGTGTTTGCTGAATCGTCTTAAAAATGCCATCTCCTCAGGTTCTCCAGTTTCAAGCTAAAAGAAATAGTACTTCATTGTATTTCTTAAAGATATGGCCTTGACTTCCTTGCCATTAATAATACTTTTTTTCTGATGAATTATGACTTTCCTTTTGACAGTTTTGAGGTAGAAATTTGGTGGATTTGGTGTAGGATTTTAGGGTTTAGGCATGTAGGGGGTGTCTTAGAAGATTTAAGAGTTGCGTGTCTGAGTATAATAAAAGCACCACCTATTCCCAATCAAAATCTCCATTTTCCATAAATATAATAAAAAATAGTAGCTTTGTCTATACAATTTATTTCCTTTAAAGGCATGTCTAATTGGAAGTTTGGACTAGTTGAGACTTAGGGGTCAGGGACTTTTATATTATCCTTTTACTCTTCATAAAATTCCTGATGATTGCAGGAGCATTTTCACATGGGTTTAAAGACTTAATGAGAGTCTAAACAATGAGTTACCCCCTCCCCTTTTTTAAAGATGTTATTTTTACATAAGCTCCACACCCAATGTGGGGCTCCAACTCACAACTCCAAGATCAAGCGTCATCGCGTGCTCCACTGAGCCAGCCAGGTGCCCTGCCCCCAGACCTTTTTGACATTATTTCATGCTAAAGATTCAAAAGAAGACATTCCTTGATAAAGTAGATTCAGAGGAGTTGGGCCAAGTAGATGCCGTCAATTTAGCTTGTCAGAATGATATCAAACAGGCATGAATTTCTATGTCATTGATAAATGAAAGCTTAAATTGTGAGTGAAATATTGGAAAAATTTTGTCTCTGATTCTAGAAGCTCTCAAACTGCTTTGGTTCCATGAAGCATGCAGCATATAGTAATATCACACAGAAAATGTCGAATCAAAGAGGCTCAGGACTAGAAAGCAATTAGACTGCATAAGGTGGAATGAAAATTCAAAATCAGACCAAAAATATTTAAAATAATTAGTGAAATGGATAACTAATTTATTACTTTGAGTCCAAGGCAAGGCCAGTCCAGTGAAGCAATATTGGAGGCAGTTAATAAAATAATTCAGGTAATTGCTGTTTTGTTTTTTTTTTTCTTTTTTGCAGCAAGAAGGTTCTCGGTTTCCTTCAATTATCAGGGTAATTAAGCTTTTGTTTCCCCCCCTGCTTCACTTTACTAAAACCCTTGGCCTGACATTGCTGAGCCTGGAAAATATTGATGAGTTCATTTTATTATGTTTAGAAATTAATTCAGATGTGTGTATTGCAGTATTTTTGCATTCACACAAGCCTTACAAATAGTCTGTGCATCTTGGCTCCTACCAGGTAGTTCATACCTGGCTAGGTTATTTTTTTTTTAATTCCAGGGTAGTTAACGTACAGTCTTACATTAGTTTCAGGTGTACAATATAGTGATTGAACACTTCCACATATTACTCAGTGCTCATCAAGATTAGTGTACTTTTCCTCCCCTTCACCTTTTTCACCCATCCCTCCACTCACCCATACATGGCTAGGTTTAACAGTTGAATTTGACCTTACTAAAAGCAACCTTTTTTATCTTACTGTAATCTCCTTTTAACTTGTGTGGCACCCTAGATCAGTTTTTTAAGAATTAAGCCCTCATGCCCTAGGGCATCCATTGCATATAATAAATTATCTCCTATGCATGCATCCGCAGATGAGGAATTTCAGTTGAGAAAGGCTGCCCTAGCCTGAAAGCTTCGGGGCAGGAACAGTTAGCAACGTACCAGGTGCATAGTAGGAGTTCGATAAATATTTTTTGAATGAACAGCTTTTATGTGTTTCACATAAATAATTATTACTTACAGACAGTGATATTTGTAGTAAATTCCTTCTTATGAAGAATGAGTTCTAGTTAATTAGGTGTGATACTGTGATTTATAAGAAGACATATGTATGTATGTATATATATATTTGGTCTCTCCCAGTTTCTGGCACAGAGCTCCTAAAATCCTTGGAATTCCCTGGGACGAAAGCAGTAAAGGTGTCTGTTATGTTAATGAGGCGACTTTTGGAAAGCACCTCCGGTTGGGGGCTGGTTGCCTGGGGAATCCAACCTTGTGATCAGAGGGTTGGAACTTTCAGTCTCACCCCCTGACCTCTGGGGAGGGGAGAGGGCCTGAAGATTGAGTTCTGTTGCCATTGGCCAATGAGTTAATCAGTCGTGCCTCTGTAACGAAGCCTCCATTAAAAGCCCAAAAGGACAGGGTTTGGAGACCTTTCAGGCTGGTGAACAAGTGGAAATTTGGGGATAGTGGTGCACCCTTAGCCCAGACCTTGCCCTGTGCTGACCATAGTATAATCTTTATTAGATGGTTATGTTATTTTATGATCTTGCAGAGCGTTATTTAATTCAACAAATATTCACTGAACACCTACTATGTGTAGGGCACTGTGATAGGCCCTGTGGACACATGGGTGAGCAAGTCAAAGTCCCTGTCTTCAGAAGCTTT